AATAAGAAGGCTGATGGATAGAATGATAAATATACCGTGAGAAAGAATGAAGTATTCTCTTTCTTCAAAAAGCCTAATTATCAAGAAACTGAAAGGCTTGCTTAAAGCAATATTTTTACAAAAGACAACATGAGCTAATATTTTGACGATTGATGATCATTCCGAAAAGTACTGATTACCCAAAACACAAGTATGAGATACAGATTAAATTTGATTTAAAACTAAATTTTGAAGATAAAGTTTGGCAGAATGGTCCTGACAAGCTGAGTGCAACAAGCCATATGGTCAGTATCTAAAACCTAAACAAAGACGAAATAAACCAGTGCATAGAAATCCTGCATAGGCAGCAAGTTTGAAATGATAGTTCTTTTGATTAACAGTCTTGAGATCAAGCAGTCAAGAGCCATTGGTTGAGGAGTGGCAGGCACAGTTGAGACACCAAGGGAGGTGGAGGAGTTACCCACATCGATTAGGAAGTGTTAGTGTGAGATGCTAATAAGAGAAGGAAGAAGATATGGGGTGGATCAATGCCTGTGACTACTACCCATGGAAAAGGTGGATCTCCCAAATTGTCTTTATTTATATATATATATATTGATTTAAAGAAAATGAATTTCTTTTGTATGACCATTTTTTTTTTTTTTTTTTTTTTTTTTGCAGGACCTAGGTACCTTTCGGCCAACGCTTCATCAGGGTCTTTCGTTGGCAAATGATTTTGAACAAACAATGAAAATGAAAAGAACGCCAAAATGGTATGGTTGGAACACGTCTAAAATTTTACGAAGATATATATACGTAAAATTAAAATAAATTTACGATTAAAATAAATGCGTAAATAATGAATTAATAATAATGAACCAACCTGAGCAGTAAAATAGAAAAATAAGTTGCTCATATATCAAAAAAATAAATTTAGCGATCGTGAAAAATTCTCCTTTTGTTTAGAAAGCGATGGTTTAAATAATTTGAGGCAGATGGCTTCAAAATAGACAGATGATATTTGGACCTGTTCCAACCATATAATTTTTTGGTGTTCCATTGTGAAACGTTTTTCAAAATGACTCATTTTCCAATTTTAGGTGTTGCCCATCCCGATGTGAGCTGATTGCTGAAACACCCCTGATGAAGCCTTGGCCGAAAGGTCTAAAAAAAAAAAAAAAAAAAAATTGTACATACAAAAGAAATTCTTTTTTTTAAATCGTTATATTTGTTTTGTGGTATCAAACATTATTCCAATATATATATATATATATATATATATATATATATATATATATATATTTATGTATATATGAATTAGATCAAATATAGATAAGAATGCAAAAGAATGATAGGATAAGAGACAAATAGGAAATTTTTATAAAAAGACATGCTTTGCTTTTATTAACATTTGAGATGTATCAGTCAAAAGTTTATTTTCTGCCCAGGGTCGGCCAGGTAAAGGTGGGAAAGGGAGCATGTCGCTTCTTGGTGGAAGAAATCGGCTCTGTTTATTCCGCTTTGTTAGCATCGTAGCTGGTTGGCAATATCTTTTGGTTGATGACTAAAATTAATTCCATATTTTATGTATACATATATTTCATTTGGACACCATGTATATTTAAAGTTTTTCAACCATTATTTTTAGTTAGAGGACTTGTGTATGTTTAGGTTTCATTTGTTTATATTTTTGTGTATCATTCTCTGAAAAAAAAAAACGCTGAGTCACCGGAAAGAAACAGCATTCGGACATTTGAGTTTCATTGGCAGTAACTTCCAGCTGGGTGAACACCCTTAACTGTTCATTCAAATTGATTTTGTGCAAAAAACAATTGTGTTTTTTCCAATTTTGGTGCTAAGAGAACCCCCGCACAACAATTTCGTAGTCCTGTGAAGTTTTGTTGAAATCGGTTGAAAAATGAAGGAAATATGATCCCACATATAAACGTACAGACACAAACCAACACAATCTGTCGATTTTTAATAACTAAGATTTTTATTCTTTAATATAAAATAAATTAAATTCAATATAATTTATCTAAATATGACTTATTTTTAATCTTTTAATTATATTTTATTTCTTAAGTATAATTTATTATTGAAAGGAATATTTTTTTGCATTGAAACCTAACCTTATATATAAAATTTTTTTTTTTATAAAACTCCCTTTTCTGCCCTCTTTTAATTTCAAATTAAGACCTCATTCTTCATATAACCTCCAATTTAATGTTATAAGATTAATATCTGGGTTTAATTTTATAAAACCATTTCCCTTCAAAGAATAATGGTGATTTGGTCCTCCCTAACCACCATCTTTGTTTGACTGAAACATTGAAATGGATAAACCCTCTATAATAATTTTCAGTGGCTGTATAATTTTCTAATTCTGAAAAACTCATGCAAACAAACATTTTAAGATTGATGTATATTTCATCCATTGAAATAGATCTATCCCCATTAAGATATAAAGGTAATTTGAGATTTTTTTTGTGTATTACTCTATATGTGTGTGTGTGTGTATATATATATATATATATATATATATATATATAAAAAATTAATATAAAATAAAAGTTTCTTACTTAGCTGATTGATGTTACCTTCAGCATCCAGACTCCAGCATTTTATAAATATACATGTCCGTCCACTATCCAGGGGCTATCAAAAAATTTGACTGTTTGGATATTTTTGAGTTTTCTTTTTTTATATACATATCATATATATATTTTTTTTTGTATTGTTTGTGTGTCTGGGCCCATCTGCATGGATGTGATTTTCATATGTGTGTAGGGTATAATGATTTTTTATTTGTTGCTGAAATGTCAAATTTTATTTTTCAGATTATGTCCCATTTTTCAAGAAGAGAAATATTTGCATTTAAAGTATGAATCTTGGAATTCTCTCAAGAATCATATTAGTGTTTTTGTGCCAGAAATGAAAAACAAAACATATTCTTGGAATCTTATTTTTGAAAATTGTTTCAAAATTGTTTTTACTGATAACAATGTTCCCCACACCATTGGTATCACCATTCCTATTGAAATAGCCAAACATCTGGTGCAATTCTGTCAAAATATTTTCTCTGCTGTGACAAAATTGCCAGATAATGACAAAAAACCAACTTGTATTTTACTATTTGTTAAAACTCAGAAAATGATGGATGATGTTTTTAATATTCTGAAGACACCTTCAGCAGAAACACCAAACATGGAAGATTCTTCTCGTTCATCAGAATCAGATACAAAACTTTTGGGTGAGTGTCTTCTTTTCTTGCTAATTCTAACCCTGCCGATATAGATAAGAGTTTTTGTAAAGACATTGAACACAATAATTAATTGCAAAGCCTATCATGCTTTAATCATTGTATGTTTTCATTAAGTCTCATTTGTTAATCTGTTTTCTATTAAGTAATGTTAATAATTAAGCAAATCAATAATCTCTTGGAAATCTGTAAACTTTGTGGCCACAAAAAAATGGTGTGTCAAAGGACAGTTTTTCTGTTTTGATACCATTGTTATCTTAACTATCTTCACTTCTCCACAATGTTTATTGTTTTAAAAAGCAATCATTAAAATTGTAATAACACCTAAGCATATAAAAGTGAATTTATACATTTTCTTTCTTCTTGAGAATTTACAACAAAAATATTAAACACTATTTATTAGATTGTTTATTTAAAGTAATAATTCTATATTTACAACATTCTAAATTTTTAATTCTAAATTAAAATTAATGCAATGCAATATTTACCATATACCAATTTATAAAGAAATAAATATGAAAAAATTTTTTTATTTATAAATCTATAAACATTTAGTAAATTATTAAAATATGTGAACCAACTATAAGAAAATTCTTACTATTTATCATTTTGTAATGTTTGAATCAATTGGCAATTAGTCAATGTTTTGCCAACAATTCCAATAAACAATCTAATAAGTAAATAGTATTTATTTATCTATTTTTGTTAATTCACAAATTATCAGAGTATACTCTTAGGCTGTTCATTTATGTAAAGTAGAAAGAGTGTTAGACCAAGAAGTGAGCCTTGGGGGATGCCTGCATTGATTGCTTGGGCATTGGAAGACTAACCATTAACAACTACCTTCAGGAACCTACTTGTTAGGATGGACTTGATAATTGAGGAGACATTGATTTTGTGTTCAGTTTGATTTTTCCAAGAAAATTATCAGGCATGGTATATGTTTGGAAAAAGGTTGTAATGCAGTGATTATAACAATCAAGATGAGGACACTAGTTTGAATTCTCTACTGCACATTCATGGAACCTACTAAGACATTGGGAAGCGCTATTTTAAACAAGTGAGAAATATAGTAGCAACATTACTGATAACAGGATACTAAATTGTTCAGGAAGCTGATATGTTTTCCAATTTATTCTGGTATCAGTCCCCCCCCACTAACACCTGCTTTGCATAATTGAAATTGTTTTTCTGGTCAGTGGTTTTTCTAAACATGAAGGTCATTTAAATTTCCTTAAAGAATTCAGTCAATAAAAACCAAAATAGTTCTTTTATGAAGCAACATATATTTTAGCTTCTGAGATAATGGACTATCACCAGAAACACATTGATAATTTTCTTGAATTATTTTGAATTATTGTTCTCATCTTGGTCGATATAGATGTTATTCATTATGAAATGTACAAAGTCCGACAATTATTTTAAGACATTTTTATGTTTATACATTCTTTTTATAGATACAAATATTTAAGTGAATGCTCTGTTTATAAATTTCTCGGACATTCAGGCTGGTAAATGTTGTTTAATACTGTTTATTATAAACAGAGCATTTACTTAAATATTTGTATCTATAAAAAGAATGTATAAACATAAAAATGTCTTAAAATATAGATGTTATTATAGACACAACATTTTGACCAAGTACCTTCTGGTCATCATCAGTTGTTCATTGATTAGTTGATGTGGGATAACTGATGATTATTGTAATAGTCATAGTTCTTGTATTATTTTGAACTATTATTCTCATCTTGGTTGATATAGATGTTATTATAGACACAACATTTCGACCAAGTACCCTCTGGTCATCATCAGGTGTCCATTGATTGGCTGATAGTGTGACATTTTGTCCCTGTTATATCAGTTATTATACACTATCAGACCCAATGGCCACTACATAAAAAGTTCCACATAACATAACCAACTTCATATCCACTAATCACTTTTGAAAAGATATTAGTGGTGTGTTTTTCAGAGTCTTTTATATTCAATGTCAGATGGTTGGTGACATTTGTTTATGAAGGTGGGTTCATCCCAATATATCAAATTCATTTAGTATTTAATTTCTGAGAGGAGTTTATTGTCAATATTCTTGTATTATTAGGTATCTGTTTTTTCTCATTTTGATTGACATAAATTATATATATATATATATATATATATAATGTGATAAACAATATATAATTTTGTATCATTTTATATATCAACAAACAGTATTTAGAAAAAAATAAGACAAACCGTTAAAGTTTTTGTGACGTGTTTCATCCATTAGGATTTCATCAGGCTGGGCTTTACTGACATTGCCATGTCTGTACATGTATACAAAACAAGAGATGCAAGTAGTTTCAAAATTTTTTTTGAAAGAATATTTTTGAAAAAAATTTTTTTTTTCAATCTAGCCAAATTCATCTGTATTCTTTTTCTTTTTCTATCCATCACCTGTGTCATTTTGATCATATAAAATCTATCAAGAATAGTGATATATTGTAAGAGCCTATATATTTAAAAAAAAAAAAAATGTTCTTTCAAAAAAATTTTGAAACTGCCTGTATCTCACTTCATGCACATGTGTAGATGTGGCAATATTAATAAAGCCCAGTCCGTTGAAATTGTAATGGATAAAATGCATCACAAAAACTTTTTCTTGTTTGTCTTATATATATATATATATATATATATATATATATATATATGTATATATATATATATATGTATGTAACAAAAGCATTAATAATTCAATAATATTAGCTTAAAAATTATAGCTCAATATTAATTATGCAATCAATCATAAAAATAATACGTTTAATGGATGAAAATTATATTTTAATATCTAAATAAAATTTATTAGTTTAAAAATTGTTAATATTTTGAATTTATTTGTAATTTTCTTCCCTGAGTAACAAGAAATTTCTTGAAAATTGGAATTGCAGATACTTCCCCCAAAGAATGTTCAGTTGATGTCATAAAGGGGTCTATTACTGATATGAAGGTATGTGTATTATGAGTAGTGTTCTTTTTTTAAATTCTATTGTTACAGTTTTTTGCAATTCACCACCCATACTCACACAATATTTTACACTTAGCAACCTATCTCTCTTCCCATCTCTCTAACAATATAAAATGTGAACTCTTCTCCTCTCTCTTTTGGTATATAATAGCAATTGCTAAACACAAAGACAATTAGGTCAAAGTGACGACCATGGCAACAGATGGAAGCTGAAGCTAAAAATAGATTTTTATACACAAGATGCATCATGTGACCAGATATGAATGACTGAGCAGGAAAGATCAACAGAACTAAATTGGGTGACAAATCTTGAAGGAAGTGGATTGTATATTAAATTCTCATATGAATTGATTATTTGAATTGAAGAGATGACATAACAACTTTAACTCACACAAAACTCCAAAACTGTGAGTGGCCTTTTGATATATTGAGAACAAGAACAAGGTAAAGATATGGATTTAAACCTATAAAATGAGATGAATGAGGACCCTGAGAGGATTGGAACTTGGAACAACAGAACCAAAAAGCAGTAAAACCTACAGGTTCCCATGTTTACATATCTACAAAGAGATGAATTGATGAAAGGTTTGTGCATTTTAAAAAATTGTGTTGGGATTTGTTTTGAAAACTTTGTTTACTAATTGTCAAATTTATGTTCAATACAACATTTCTTGTTAGACCATGATTTTTTTCACAGTTTGCCATGATAATTGTTAATGTCAAATTTATTTTTTAGTTCCATGTAGGCTTCAAAATGTTTTTATCATTCATCTGTCGAACTGATTCAACTGTACAAAGCTTTTCTTTAATCTTGGTTTTCCTAATTTTTTTCTAGAAATTTCTGGATATCAGTGTCACTTCCTGTATCTAGTTGCATGTCCAATAATACATTATTGATTCAGATTTTTAATAACCCTTTCTCATTTCTTTTTTTCAATGAAAAGACATCCCTACTTATTTCCTCTTTTGTTAGACACTCTCTATGTTTTTCTTTGTGAATTTACATATATGTTTAGAATGATTCATTTTGAAACATTTTTCACATCTATTTTTATATGATGGACATTTTTGTATTTTCTCTTTGATGTTGATAACTATAAAAGTACACATTATTCTGTCCTCTAGCAGATACAAAACTTTTATCCTATTAAATTTTCCAATTAATTCTTGTTGCTGAACAAATTCAACGCACTGTTGTAGTGACAACTTCCCCAGCTGTAAATGCATTAGTCATTTCTTGATATTTCTCATTTTGAAGGTCATTTACCAATTTCATTTGGATCAAATCCTGTTCAACTGAATTGTTTTCCGATCCCAGTTTTTCAAAGTTACAATATTTAGCAGCCTGTTTCAAACGAATAATGTATTCAATAACTTGTTCATGAACTTTTTGAGAAACGTTTATGAAATTAGCTCTCTCTGTATTCACTAGTTTTTTCTTGGGTGCTATATTTCTCACTATTAGTTGACTTATATCATCAAATGTCATATCCTTCAACTGTCTTGGGTTTACAATTGCTGATAATTTTATAATGGCCCCACAATCAGCAGTTCAATTATTTGGTTTTCTCCTCCAACTGATTTCAAATCCTTCATCTTTTTTGTTCGAGCTTTAGCTGCTAGAATCCTCAGCTATGCTTGTTTGTACTCATAATTATCCAATGATAATTGTTTACTCAGTTCGCCATTGTTGTATAGTGTAGTGTTACTGACTCACAAAAAGTAGTATGCACTTAATTACCCATAGGTAATAGCCATAGCTATTTATAGCCTTTGTAATTTCCTATGTAAATGAATCACCTCAGTGACAAAAGCTGCCCTCTAAAATTAAGCTGGTGTAACATTGAAAAGCCATAGTGAGAGGTAAAAATACTGGAGAAAGAAAAACACTGGAGTGTTAGATGTCTGAAAGAATCAGCACATATGCAAGGCTAAGAGGACCTCCTTAGTAGGCCTAGAATAAAAATAAATAAAATATTGGAGCTGATAATAAAGAAAAAAAGGCAAATGACAGCAAGTCAGCAGCTACAGTTGAACCCTAATCAGTAGCCAAGTTTAGATTTACCTTGACCATGCCAGAGGTGAAAATGGTCGCCATAGAATTCTCTTCCTTTGCTGCTCTAGGCCCATTATGTTACCTTGACCCGTTTGCTATAAATAAACACTTGTCAACTGTTATTTCCAGTATTTTAAGCTGGAAATCGCTTACTACTGCTTTGGAACAAGGCTAAATTTCCCTTTTCTGACACTATTTTGAATTCTTCTAGACTCTACACAAGATATAATGTTAATTAAACCCATTTTAAATTTTTCACAAACAAAAATGGCAACATCAACAAAGCCTTTATTCAGGAATTTTTCATTGATTTGACTTCAATGATGATTTTGAAGGCTTTACCCAAGTGGATATTGATGGTGAGGTGGTCGATGATGATAACTCTGCATGGAATAAAACATTGATGTCCACTAGCAGCTACTATCATCCATGCCTGACTAATTTTATGGAAACTACTGGCAACCATTGATATAACTGATAGCCTTTCTTAAGGTGAATTATTTTGTTTATTTATAAATAATGAAATAATAACTATTTGTCAATGAGACAAATAAATATACTAGTCAGTTGAACGAAAGACCAAACAAATGCTGGTGTTTTCTTGTATGTAAACACGAGGAAGCATGTCACTTTTTTGATGAAATGAAAGCCTTCTTAGCGATATTGCTTGTTATTGCTCCTCAGAACTCCACAAGGAGTAATAAAAGTTGAAGTACATTTATGTATTATGAATTATTTATGTATTTTTTTAATGTATTTGTTTTTTTATTTTGTGTTTTCACCCTCATATAGTTTGAATATAAATAGTTTAAATAATAACTATTTGAATTTTCTGATGAATCTTAATTTTTAAGTTAATGAATGAATAAGCTCATGGCAAGTTCTGCAACTATAAAATACCCATAGAAATTTCCCTATCACATTGTTAAATATTTGAATTTAACAATGTTAAACAAATATTGCAATAACAATCATATAGGGTGAATGCATGTCATTATATAAAGTAAGAGGGTACAAATGAAAATTTAAAAAATTGATAAGGTTTTCCATTTTAATCTAGTAGATGTTAAACACAGGAAAACATTATCATCGCCTCTGTTTTCTTTTTCTTTCTCCTCAGTGAAATCAAATATCCTCTCGTATGTCTATTCCATAGCCTTGCAATCAAAACTTGATAATCAATAATTTATGAGGGTTTGGCAGTGAGTAACATATTTGCTAAGGAACAAGAAGAATTATAATTTCATATTATTCATGAAAACATAATGTCTTCAAAAAGTATTTCTGCACTTCATTTTGTAAAATGGATTATTCCAAATATTTTTCTTGAGAATGGGATAATCTGATTGGTTTGTTTTGTTTTATTTTGTTTTACTGCATATCAACTTCAATGGGTTATTTAATGCTGACAAGATTTTTATTTCTGATAATATTTTTTTCAGAAATGTATTGCTGGTAATGATTTTTTTCTTCAAAATTCATTGCTGGTAATAATTTTTTACAAAAATATATTTCTGGTATTAAAACCTATTTTTACATTTTCATAGTGCTTTGACTCCAGTTTGGGGGTTAACTATTTTCTCATGGCTGAGACCCTAACAGGTGCTACTACCCTGGGTCAGGGTGAACCTCAAAACACCAGCAATTAAGAAACCCATCCTGAACTCCTGATCCAAGCCTTTTACTGTTTGATGTAGTTTATTACCTTACCCAGGACATGGATGCAGTTTATCATCTTGCCCAGGATACCAGATAATCTGAATATTTCTCACTCTCAATGACATGATTTATTGTGCATGAAAATATACAGTTGTGGCACAAGGCCTAAAAGTGGGGATGGGTTGAAGCTGGTTGATACTAACCATTTTTATACCTAGCTAATCAGATTCATGACCCATTCATTCATTACAATTCACACATCTACCACAAGAACTCATCCATCATCATTCAATCCTACATATACCACAATATCGCACACACACACACACTGGGAACCTACAAAACACCCATGACATAAGAATTGTTGAGTATAAAATTATATATAAAAATCTGTTGATGATAAGTAATGAACCCCAAAACAAACTAAAATATAACAAAATTACATAAAGTAAAGATGACTGATGTTAGTTGGAGGCCGCAGTATTCTGTCTTCAGACAAAATCATGAGGTATGTGTATGTAAGATTGATTGACACAAGATATTTGTGATCAATACATGCCATCTACTTGCCAACATTTTCCCAGAAATGGGCGTACCTGGGGACAATGGTAGAAGGCATGCAAAGTTCACACTGATGACAGTCAGGCAAATCTGCCCAGTCTCATCTGAAGGCTACATCATTGAGTGATAGTCTGTTCCAAATCGCCAGGTAAGTGAAAACTCTGGATTGTTGAGATAATCCATTTGTGGCACCCAATCCAGAAAGAGCACAACTTGGTCACTGACAAGCCAAGCCACCCACAAAGAATCCTTTGCGACACCCTCCACTAATTCCTGATACAATAGTCTCCTAGCCATGCAAGGTCAGTGGACTGAGGAATGACTCACAAGGCCACTTGACACTCTTTGAGGAAACTCAACTGATTCCAAAACCTATGATGGCACACAGCCCTAGAAATGGAAGGAGTGCTGGTAAGGCTATGGAAGGCATCCCTAACATTCCCCTTCAAGATCAAGTCTTCTGTCAATGCATGGTATAAGAAAGTCAACCTCAAGACATGTCAATGACTTGCCAAGTATGGCAATCCCAGTCCCTCATGACATGGACACTGGAAACGGACTTCTTTGTAACCACAAGGGGGTTAGAAGCAAGCTCTCAATTGCCTTTCTACAGTCACTACAAAAAGGGTGTATAGCCAACTGGTAAAGGATGAGAGAAAAAACATGTGGCACACGCTTCAGCCCTACCCTTCAAGGACAACCACCTTTGGAGCCAAGTTTGGACCACCACTCTGACCTTTATCTGTACTTCTGACCAATTCTTCTCGAACTGGAGCCTGGGCCAGAACCACACTCCAAGAATGCAAATGGCTCTAACTGAAGAATCTTGCAACATTCAATCCCATGATCCTTTTGTAATTTAATAACATTAAATACCATTGATTACATTAATTTTCCATTTCATCAAATCATGTATCACTAAAATCAATCTTTTTGTTTTTCTTTTCTTAAATTTCATCAAATCATATATGTATTAATTTTAAATGTTAATTTATGAACTTTTATCTCCTAATAGGTGGATGTTGTTGTGGGATCTACAGATTCCAGTTTGAAGTTAAATGGATATGTTGCATATGATTTATCAAAGAAAGCAGGCCCAGAATTAAAGCGGGAATGTGCTAGAAATTATCCTCAGGGAATTTTTTTTTTTAAATTGTTGTGACTAAAGGATATAAATTACCATGCAATTTTGTCTTCTTTGGTAGTATTCCAGAGAATGATGGAAAACCTGTAAGTATGACAAGTTAATATTTTGTATTCAAACATCCCCATTTAAAAAGAGAGATGCTTCAAAATCTTTTGTATACTTCAAATGTCCTTTTTTTTTCATCCAAATGTGATCATTCACTACATTATTTGATGTTTCACTTATATATGAAGATATTCCATCTATGTATCAACAAAATGCATATACAAAAATTGATAATGAAAGCTAAAATGAAAATATTACCTTCAGTTTTTAAAAACTTTACTAATAATCAGGGAATATTCTAATTTAAATGAAATTTTCAATTATTATTCATTTATAGAAAAAAAAAATTTCAATCAATTAAATTTGGTTTGAAATGCAGCAAAGTATATTGGAAATATTAAATTTAATCTATTAACTTAGAATTTCAATTTAAAATAAAAGCTACAAGAAAGATTTTTCATTTTTACAAATGCATTTTAAGCCTTAGGTGTTACTTTAGCTTCTTTTTTTTTTAAGGTACCTACATTATTTTTGAGGTACATACATTTTTTTTTTTTTTTTTTTTTTTTTTTTGAGGTGTCTACATTTTTGTATTGCTTAATGTTTATATTTGTTATAAGGATAAGTCCTTAGAGAAATTGAATTGTCAATGTTTTTTCATCAAACAGGACCCCCACTTATAGATAATCTGCCCTCAGTGATAAAATAAAAAATACAATAAAATAAACCTTATTTAATTACGAAAGCTTTTAATTGCTTTCATAAATAAAATACACTATTAACACTTGTCTTAAGAAAAAAGGTTTTTACAAGAATTGTTTGCAATTTTTTAAAATTTTAATTAGAATAATTTATAAACTTTTAAATCTTTAAAATTATTTATTAATTTGCATCAGCCAAGTGATATTCTTATTAAATAAAAAGTATTTAGTAATCTTAAATGAAAAAGGTTATTACAAACCAACAACCCACAGTCTTTTTTTTAATTATTTCATCCCAAGCAAGGCAATAAATCCACTAAGACACAATGTGTTACTGAGTGTTAGACAATATGAGAAAAAATAAAACATTATTAAGGAGAGAAAAATAGAAGAACAAGAAGTAAGAAGACAAAATATTGATTGGCATTACATTTAAATTTTGAAGATTAATGTTAACTAAGAAACAAAGAAAAAGCTGGAAGATAGTTCCACACGTGAGGTGTGCGATAGAAGAAACTGTCAATGTAGAATTTATGGTTACACCAAAAACATTTCAAGTGTAAAATGATGAGACCTTGCTACCAATCTAGTAATGTGCTTAAATTTAGAATGTCTAGATACCATAGAGGAAGGTTCAAGATAACAATTACCACGAAAGTACTTATAAGAAAGGTGAGGAGGCATGGTGGAGTAATGGATATCAGATTGAATTGAGGAATCGGAGAGCCGAGTTGGAATTCCAGTCGAATCCATTATATTCACTTACATGCTAGTACCCTTGGGAAAGGTGTGAATCCTCTTCTTCTCCCTCCAGCTATGGGTAAATAGCAGTACAGACTGGGTTCTATAGCTTTGGATGGCAACTGGTCTAGGAGAAGGACAACTCTGAATTCAAAACCGGAGTGGAGTCCCGAAGGCGGATGGACGGCACTTTGTGCTACCTTCCGCCAACTCCTGCAGCTGCACTGGTACCAAACTGTATTGGTTTATCCTCTCCTTTGGACTCTGCTAGCAAGGCCGAGAGGGGGACCTAGACGTCTGGGCAGCCCTAGTTTTCCATATATCCTGCCCAGGCTCATAGCACACCATGCTACTCCATCATCTCTCGAGACGGACGGTTGTCACCACCAACTTATAAGAAAGGCACTAGAAAGCTAGGTTAAGGCAGTGGTAAAAACCAGATTTTCTCATATAGCTCATGTATAATGCAACCCCTGCTTCTGAGTAATACTAGTTGGCCCACCGTAGTCAAATATTGCAGTAGTGAGCAACATCCTGAACATATTTTATAGCAAATAAATGGTCTTCATCTTTTTTGTACAAAGCTACTCCAAAATAGGTGAGAAAAACCATTTACTGTAAAATATCTGATATAAATATTTAGATACCTGTGTACAGTACAACCTAAAATAGTCACCAAAAATGCATTATTTTTAATCTTTTCAAAAAAGTTACCTATTACCTGTGACCCTCTATCTTTTTGTAAAAAGCTGATCATAAAAACTTGCACTATAGTCAAGTACATATGGCATGTAATTTTCAATATCCAAAGTTGCAAGCCTTTTTTCTTGTGTGTGTGTGTAGCCCACAATTAAATTTGTCAGAGAAATTACAGAAAACTTGGACTTTCATGTCCACAAAAAGAAATGGGTGTCAAAAAGTTTGTTAATTAGGCAGATATTGGTAATTGTCTGAAGAAATGTTTGTTTCAGTAGTTGGAAGTCAGACCATGATAGGGATAGTAGTAATGTCAGAAATTAGGTCAGATGTCAATTTATTGTGTTTTCTTTCGGCTCTGAACAGAGTGGAAATGTAAGTAGACAATGACTCCTTATCTGTTTCTTCACACATGTTTGTGTTCTTTTGCTCCATCTCTACTGGTGTCATTCTGGTCTCCTCTCTACCCTGGTCTAGAGGTGTCAGGTTTCTATCCTGTTAAATAGGCTTGAGAATTTGCCACAAGCATCAAAACTCCATGTCAATTTTTTGATTGACCAAATTATTTTATTTTTGACAAACTCAGAGTTGATAGGTCTTGAGTTAACCAATTTAAAAAAAGAAGCATCATTTCTGGTGTAAAAAAAAACTTGAATAATCCAAAAACAACATTAAAAATTTGAGGAAACCTACTGTTTAGTAGATATTGAAAATATTATTTGTGCCCAGCCGAAATTATTGACCTTGGTTACTGTGCAAAATGATTTGCAGATAGCAGCTCAATAAAAAGCATCATTTCTGGTGTAATAAAAATCCTGATTATTAAAAAAGATAGCATTAAAAATGTGTGGAAATCTACTGCAATTTTAGATGGGTCCCATGTACAGCACAGTCACCAGGCTTAGATTAATGCACACCTGACCTCCACAATTACTCAATAAACAAGGTCTAACCCAGTGTGCAGTAATCAAGGCATCTAAGCAAGACCTAATCCAGGGCACATTAATCAATGCACATAAACAAAGGCCTAAACCAGCATGTGGTAATCAAGAAACCTAAACAACACCTAACCCATCACACAGTAAAAAAGGCATGTAAACAGCACCTAACCTAGCATGCAGTAATCAAGTCATGTAAACATGGCCTAACTTTCAAGCATCCATCAAGGCCAGCACACAAATAAAACCCAACTAAGATTGTCAATATCTTCTAAATGGTATGTTTTCGCAAATTGTAATGCTGTTTTTGGATTATTCAGGGTTTTTTTTACACCAGAAATGATGCTTGTTTTTTAAATTGGCTTCTGGGTCCTAATCTGCAATTTTACCAAAATTTGTATTCTCAAACAGAACCACAATATGGTCAAATGTTCAAGTAATTATTGGTTGAAAAAATATATGGACAAAATAAACAAATCAGTTACCATATCTTTCCTTTTCCCACTAGTATACAAAAATCAACCTTAAAACATAATTAAAATGTCTGCAAAAAATTTATTAATCTAGCAAACAATACATCTGCTGAAATTTTGACACTTGTATACATTATTTTTTAATATTAAAATAAAATGCAGTGTATCTACAAAATAAGTGTACATATGTAAATATGACAAAATGTATATTTTTATTATTTAATTTTCATTTCCAGCATATAGTATCAGATTAAACTGATTCTCTCTCTCTCTCTTTCTATCTCTCCTTCTGTCCTTCTTTCATTTCCTCACTGAAACCCCTCTTTCCACATGATCAAAATTGAATAGTCCATTATTTATTATGTACTGGCAAGGCATAATGGTCGTGTGAACTAATGAAGGAAAGACAAGTACAATTATAATAGGATTGAATTCAGACAAGTATTTTTTGTATGTGAACAAGAAAATTAAAAATGTTAGGAAAAACCTGCTTTGAATTAAAAGGAAAAGGAAAAGATATTCTGATTTGTTTATTTTGCCAGGATTCTGATTGATTGCCAAAAAAAATCCCAGTATGTTCTTCATTTTTATGTAAGCCTAATTATTTTGTTTTCATTTTCAAGATTCTAAAGATTCTGGTCTACCTGGATAGTTAACCACTAGATTCATGCCTTTGCCAAGGTTATTAGTGTGAATGTAACAGACTAGGACAGAATTTGAACTCAATTCTCTGGCACCAATAACTGTTATGCTACCTTCATAGACTTTCTAATAGTACAAAAAGTTGAAAAGCAAGGTGGAATCTGTTTTTGTAATTTTTTTTTCTTTTTCCATTCATGTGCTGTTTGTGTATTTAATTTTTTAAAAATTATAACTTGGATAATATTTATGTTTAATCTCTTTTTTTTTTTTAATTATAGAACATTACAACATTTGTGGAAGCCTGTCTGCAGAGAGCAACTCTGCTAAACTTTTCATCTATTGCCTTTCCTGCACTGGGAACTGGAAATTTAGGGTATAAACCTAAAGTAGTTGTTGAACAAATGGCTTCTGCTATTAGAAAATTTAAGACAACAACACCTGAAAGTTCCTTGAAAAATATCATAATTGTCATCTATCCAGATGAAAAGGTCAGTCTAACTGATTTATTTGATAAAACATGATACTAAATATCTAAATACATACACTTCTATTCCAAGAGACAATCATTTGATAAAACATGATACTAAATATCTAAATACATACTTATATTCCCAAAGACAATCTTAAATTTCTGAATCCGCTTTCACTTAAGTAAATATTTAAAATATTCAAAATTGATTCGCATGTTATATAAACTGTGGTACTTCAATCAGAGATAAGCTTTGTTTCTTTTCAGAAAATGGACGACTTTTTTAAATTGAAAAAACTGTCTACAATTGTCAAAGGTAAGGTGAAAAAAATTTCAAAACACCCAAAATTTCAAAGTATTGTTTAAAACATAATATTTTCTTATATATATATATATATATTTTTAAGGGTTTCACCCCAAGCAAGGTGGGAAGCCACTAGGGCACAATTGTTTGTTTTATCAAATGCTGAGATAATAATGAAATTTTCTTCCGTCAAAACTCCTTATGAGTATAGAAATAGGAAAGTGAATCAGAATTGCTTTTTGGGGAATAATACAATATAAGACATCACAAAATTATCAAAAAATGTTTCAGTACTGAATGTTTTGTCTTCAAACAATATTTAGAGTTTTCATATAAGACGGATTATGGATTTCTATATGCCATTTTTAGTTTTCATATAAAAATGATTATCATAAATTTCTATATGACATTATTAGTTTTCATATAAGAATGATTATTATGAATTTCTATATGATTAGTTTTCGTATGAAAAAGGTTACTATGGATTCTAAATGTCATTATTATTCATGTGAAAATGATTTTAATGAATATCTATATGACATTATTATACATGTGAAAATAATTTTTATGGATTTCTAAATGCTATTATTACTATTTCTGTGAAAATGATTTTTATAGATTTCTAAATGCCATTATTATTATTATTATTATTATTATTATTATTATTATTCATGTAAAACAGGTTATTATGGATTTCTATATGACATTATTAGTATTCCTGTGAAAATGATTTTTATGCATTTCTAAATGGCATTGTTAGTATTTATGTAAATATGCGTATTATGAATTTCTATACAACATCATTAGTATTTATGTGAAAATGATTATTATAGATTTGTATATGCCATTATTAGTAATCCTGTGAAAATTATTATTATGGATTTATAAATGCCATTATTAGTATTCATGTGAAAATGATTTTATGGATTTGTATAGGACATTATTTTTATTCATGTGAAAATTATTTTTATGGATTTCTATATGACATTATTGGTATTACTATGGAAATGATTTCTGTGGATTTCTAAATGTCATTATTAGTATTCATGTGAAAATGATTATTATAGATTTCAAAATGCTATTAATGTGAAAATTATTATGTATTTCTCAATGCCATTATTACTATTCATGTGAAAATTATTGTTATGGAATTCTATATGACATTAGTATTCTTTGCAAATGATTATCATCAATTTGTAAATGTCATTATTAGTATTCCTGTGAAAATGATTTTATGAATTTCTAAATGCCATTTTTAGTATTCATGTGAAACTGATTATTATGGATTTCTATATGAACTTATTAGTATTCATGTGATATTTATTATGGATTTCTAAATGCCATTATTATGGATTTCTAAATACTATTATTAGTATTCATGTAAAATGATTTTTATGGATTTCTATATGACATTATTAGTATTCATATGAAAATGATTATTATGAATTTAAATATGCTGTTTTTAGTTCCATTACTAGAACAAAAACCAAACTGGATTTTGGGGTGTTGAATTTCATAAAATGATGAGAGCCTAATTAATATAATATTCATTATTTTTTTCCCATATTGGATCCAACTGAGAGAGCTCTGTATGTCTATGGGTTTTGAGGATTATGTTTTTTGTTTATTCTATTTATATTTAAACTATTGTCCACATGAAATGAAGAAAATAGTTCAAATATAAATAATGTATTAATGCATGATAAGCTCCACTTTTTGGAGATGCATTTCTGATTCCAGTCTGGCTTCACGATATTGTGAAACTTGTTATTGAATTTGTGAAGAATTTAAGCTATTTTCAAAAGATCAGCTTCAATGTCAAGTGATGATTTATTATTCCATAGATTGTTAAGAGCTTTCTTAATTTCCTCTTCAGTCAGTTCATTATTGCTTATGTTTGAAGACTGACTTTCTATCGGTTGGATGTATATTGATATATGTTCTATTTTGTGGGTATCTCTAGTTTAGTGTGGTCAGGGTTGAAATGTGATTAAAATATTTCTTGAGATCAGAACATTTCTTCTGTCATGTTTTCAATTGTATGATGTATTGTAATGTTTTATTTCTCTCCATATTTTCTATGTTACTTGGCTTCATTATTATAATTTCCAATATTCTGGAGATATTGATTTTTCAAATTTCTCATTTTTTTATTTACTTTGTTAATTGTTTTGCATTTTTCCTTTCACTATTTTCCTCATCTATTTGATTCCTTCTTGTATAAATTTTTCAACTCAGGATTATCATTCTTTGGGTGTATCATTTTTCTTCAAGGTATTCTTGGAATGCTCTCAGGTGCTTCAGCTGATGAAGATATGATAATGTTATTTGATCCCTTAATGTTGTTTTCATCAAGATTTATCGATATCAATTTGAACTCTAGTTTATTACTGAATTCTAAATTTACCCTTGGATCTTATACCTAGGTATTTTTCATGATTTATCTGTGCAGAAGTGAGTTATTTTGTTGGCTGGTGTTGTTAGTTTAGTTACAACATATCTGTGTTCAAATACAAAGTAGGATTAGTATACGCTAACATCTGTCAGAAACTGCCTAATCCAAGAGTCTGAAATTCAGAAGTTAATAATATTTTTTGTTACATTATTTGGGCTCTGCCATGTGATGCAGGGTTTCATGGGATGGTCGAACCCTGGGTTAAGGATGGAATATCTTTTTGAGTAAGAAAAGTTTAACAAGAATTCTCCATTGCTGTTTGAGACTTCTGTTTGAAAGAGTGAGGTTCTCTTATCAAAGGTGTAATAACATTCAAATATATTTGAGGTAGTATTAAAATTTTCATTAATGCAGTTTATCTGTGCAGAAGTGAGTTATTTTGTTGGCTGGTGTTGTAAGTTTAGTTAAAACAAGTCTGTGATCAAATACAAAGTAGGATTTGTATGCACTAACATCTAAAACTAATCCTGTGTAAAATTTTCTGAAACAATAATGTGTCCAGTTGGGACATAAGCTGATATGACTCAAAATTTACAACCATGACAAACAACATCAGAAGCCATCAGTATTGTCTATTATAATATCTGATGATTTGCTTATTGAATTTCCAACTTCATATTATTGTTTCTCTTTGTGGCCAATCCAAAATAAATTGTATCCCGACCATTTCTAATGCACCTCATGCATACAGGCAAGTAACTTGTCTAGTAGAGCGTTGAATACTACTATCATGACTGACTCGGTCAAGTGTTGTGTCTTGCCAGACCACAAATCACAATAGGTACAATGATGATGAAGAACACTCTCCTGTAGTGGAGTACCAGATTGAAGGGACTAATCCCATGCTGTGATCAGGGTTAGGGTGATGAAAACAGTTGGCATGAATGTTATCACTGTAATTTATTTAAATATTATTTCTCTAATCAATACCAAATTGTTTAAATATCTCACTTCACATGGCCTTCTTTCAGATAAACTATGGCTTCTGTTTCTCCAGGTCTATCATCAATGTGTTAACAGCTATCACTGAATTTGTCTATCAAGCTTTAGAGAAGAACAGTTAAGCTCAGGGCTTGGCATGCTGACCTTCTCTACAAGCTTAAGGGCTACAGTGTCCATGACAAATATTTGGCTGAATTCAATAATTCCTAACAAATCATGTAATAAAGGTTATGCTTTTAGTCCATTTCATATTAATGCAGGGGTCTCCCTGAGCTCTATCCTTGCATCTACATTGTTTCTTATCTTCATCAATGACCTTCCTGATGTCATCATTTCCCAACTAGGTATATATGCTGATAACACAACTATTTACTCCTGTTTTAGTAGCAAGTGATCTCATTTGATTCCCAAGAAATGTGTTACCAATGGTTAGCTTTTAATGGTTTCACTTCTGCTTCAGCCTTTTCAGGAGAAGTGATAAAATTATTGTAGGTAGTATTAGGAAATGGTTCCTTGGCATTTGTTTGTCGTGTTTCAAACTTATTCCTGACACCAGTGGTGTACTAGTCTTTGAGTTGACTGTTGTTAGAAGAGACCAGTCATACTGTGGAAAGACAGACTACTTTTTCTTATTGGCTCTAAGGATCTTCCATTTCGCCAGGTATACTACTGATGTGTTAATGGCCATCACTGAATATGTATATCAGGCTCTTGATAATAACGGCAAAGCTTGAGTTGTGGCTCTAGATATCTCAAAGGTGTTTGGCATGTGGGTCATCTACACAAGCTCCAAATCTCAAATGGGAAATCTTGCATGCATTAATGTCTTCCCTTCTTATTAATAACTGCATTGTTTCATTCCAGGTAAACTGACTATTGTGAATTCCTCAGCTCTTGGTGTTACTACTCCATGCTTATGCATCGTAGTTCTCACCCTCCTAATTGTAGTAGTTATATAGTCTATGCATTCTGGCTATGTTAATTGGTTAATCTACATATCAGCACATCATCGGACTGTTCAAACAATACATCATATGTAACTAATAGCAACTTCACTTGAAAATGGACAAAATTTGGTGTTGTGTTTTTATCAAGTACCATCAGAAAAAGGATTTAACCACCACCCCACTGGAATATTAGGAGATGATAGTCCAGCTGGAAGATTCATTAGGAGATGATAGTCCAGATGGGAGATTCATTAGGAGATGATACTCCAGCCGGGAGATTCATTAGGAGATGATACTCCAGCCGGGAGATTCATTAAGAGATGATACTCCAGCCGGGAGATTCATTAGGAGATGATACTCCAGCCGGGAGATTCATTAAGAGATGATACTCCAGCCGGGAGATTCATTAAGAGATGATACTCCAGCCGGGAGATTCATTAAGAGATGATAGTCCAGCTTTATCAAGTGCAAAAGTGGGGAGCTGAAATTAGGAGAGAAAGGAAGAATCTTGAAGATAACCCAAGGTCTGGACATCCTGCAACTTCCTCCACCGAGGAAAATATTGATTATGTTCACCAAAATGGTGATGGATGACAAACAATTGACTATAAATCAAATAGCCAACGATATTAACATATTCTGTAAGAAAGTTGAGAATATTCTACACA